GGCGCTGCAGGTGGGAATGCAGCTCCCTCCTGCTGAGCTTTGGCTGGAAGGGGGAGGAGGGGCAGAATGGGTGCAATGCGCCATCAACCTCCTTGCTATCTGCCTCTTCCTCCAGGACCAGGTGCGAAGTGCACCAACTTGAGAGATTTTATTTATTTTTTGTTCTTTATTTTTGTTTTTTGGCTGCTGGCCAGTACAGGAATCCTTGACCTAGGTGTTACTGCCCTCTAATCAACTGAGCTAACCAGCCAGCCCCTTTGAGAGATTTTTTTGTTCATTTGTTTCACTTTTTTTTTTTTTTTCCTTTTTGTCTTTTTTACTGACCGGTAATAGGATCGCAACCCTCGGTGTCACACCCGCACCGGGGACCGGCAACAGGATCACAACCCTCGGTGTCGCGCCCGCACCGCGCTCAGCCAGTGAGCGGGAACCAGTCTCCACATGGGATCCGAACCCTTTGTGGGAGCGCCGCCGCGCTCCCAAGCGGCGCGCTCTCCAGTGTGCCACCGGGCTGGCCCTGTTTCACTTTTTTTAATTTAATTGTTTGGGTTTTTTTTTTCCCCCTAGAGAGACTTGAAGTGACAATATTATTAAAGACATTTTGGAGAAAAAGATCACCTAGAATCCTGCCACCTTAACATCTTTTTCTTTTCTTTTTTTTCTTTTTGGTGGCTGGCCTGTACAGGGAACTGAACCTTTGACCTTGCTGTTACAAGAACTTTTTTTTTTTTTTTTTATAAAGCTGACCTGTTAGGGGATCTTAACCCTTGGCTTGGTGTTGTCAGCACCACGCTCAACCATTGAGCTAACCGGCCATCCCTATATAGGATCTGAACCCCTGGCCTTGGTGTTATCAGCATCGCACTCTCCCGAGTGAGCCACAGGCCGGCCCTACAAGAACATCTTTTTCTGATTTATTAAATATTTCCTTCTGGGTCTTGTTCATATGTTTTCACACAGTGGCAGTCTATTATACACTGTATTTCCTATCCTTTAAATCATTAAAATAACCTTTATTCAACATGTTTGAAAGCTTTAATAATAAAAAGCTGGGGGAATTAGTAACTTTTGTATTGTGTGCAGATACCAGGTAGGTGGGTTTTCTGTGTGTGTCTCTGCTCCCACTCGCATTCCCACGTTATGGCTGGGTTAGCAGTTAACCTCCTCTCCTTGGTGCCTGTCTCTCCTTAAATAGTTGACTAGGCTAAACGTGTGTGTGCATGTATATTTTACGCCTTTATGACATATCACCATATTAAAATCTTCCAAACCCCTCATAAAACATGCACCACTGCTTGCTGGTCCTTTTTGTGCCATTTTTAGCTTCCATAGTGCTGTTTTTCTCAACCACTGTTACCCTCAAGATTCTTAACTGCCTAGCCCCCTTATACGAAAGCTTTCTTTGAAGTCTTTCTCTGTCTGTGCCCTCCTATCTTTTTGCTTACCCAGTGCAAAACCTGAGAATGCTTTCACAGAGAAGCCTTCAATTATCTCAGCATATTTTTTTGCACTCAGACCTTTTCACATCCAAAGCCTTTTTATCACCCTTCTCTAATATTCATACCCCATTTTCTTCTATATTCACAATTCCTGTGTTCCATACATATATATATATATATATATATATATATGTATATGCTTATTATCTACAGTATCATTTCCCCACCTTCATTTCACTTAGATCCTAGTGTTTTTTTACCCTCTATCATCCCTTGGTGCCTCCCCCCATCCCCAAGGTTTGTCTTTTGTTAGTCATCTTTCTCCCTTTCACTCTTAACCTCTCTGGTAATTTTGTTTTTTCACCCTTATCCAAAAGCTCACACTTTTGATAGTGTATATGCAGTGTTCTGTTGAGTGCTTCTGAATCAATATCTGTTTTTCAAAACAGTGAAATTTAAATATTAGCATGCTAATAACCCCTGTGAAGATAAGGTCTCCACTTGAAAGGTTCAAATGGAGGTTCTCCTGCTTGTGTTGAATAATGTATAATATTATTCAATATATATATAATAATATATATATAGTTGTTGTTGCTATTTGTTTTTGTTTTTGTGGCTGGCCAGTACAGGGATCTGAACCCTTGACTTTGATGTTACAGGGCCTCACTCTAACCAACTGAGCTAACTGGCCAGCCAACAGTGTACCTTTGATTTTACACTTCTGTCTATTTTGATTGACCTGAGAAATAAAACTTACACTAGGGAAGGTAATTTCCATGTGTTTTGGATTATATTGAGTATTAGTTCTTCAGGGTAATTATAGACTTGGAAATCTTTAATCCAGTCTTCTAGTCCATGTTGAAGTCCCTCCCAGTGATGGGAGGAACTCATAATCTACAAGGCAACCCAATCAATTTTGTAGTGCTATTGATTGTTGTATGAAGTTCATCCTTGTATTGGGTTAAAATCTACTGGCTATAATTATATTCATTGAACTTAATTCTGCCCTTACACAGAATTTGGATCCCTTTTCTACATGACAGCCTTTTAGATATTTTAAGGTAGTTAGTTACTTTATCCTCTTCACCCTTCCCATCAGAAATCTTTTCCCCCTTTGGTATAAATATCCTCACCTCTTCCAAATATTCCTCAGATGGAATAATTTTCATCATCCTGATTGCACTCTGAGGACATTAAACTTTGTTAATGTCCCTTCTAAAATGTGTTTGGAACTGGAAATAATATTTAGTATGTAGCTGAATTGCATCTGGGTGTTGCACATCTGGACACTAATCCAGCCTGAAGTTGCTATAAGTTTTTTTAGCAACCATGTAACATTGGCTCATAATAAATTTGCAATCAACTAAAATCCCAATTTTTAATCTGGAGGTTTATGTTTTGGTTTTTTTTTTTTTTTTGCAGCTGGCCTTCGTATTGCAAAGCTGCACTCTAACCAACTGAGCTAATTGGCCAGCCTTCTTTTTCCCCCCCTTAAGTGACTTCTTTCCAAACCAAGTCTCCATCTTCCTTCAGTTGTGCAACAAATTTTTTAAAACCAGAATGTAAGAGTTTACACTTATCACTATTGAATTTTAACTCATTAGGCTATCAGCCAGCTCTGGTTTCTTTGAATCTTGATTTTTGTCATCCAGCTTGTTATTGAAGGTAATGTCAGAATGTGTTCAGACATGTGGAAAATGATAATCAAAAATCATGCAGACTGTGTTCCAAAAATTATTGTATGCAGATATAATTCAGTTCTTGTGGTACATGTGAATACCACTGTAAATTGACAAGGCCAGGAAAGACTGAATTCCATTGCCTTGTGTTGAATATTACTCCAACAGACATGATGTTATAAGACATATTGTGCCGACGTAATGCCAAAAGGTCTGGCTAACTCTTACCTAGAAATCAGTTGATGCACATATGAAGTACAGAGTCATTGTGACCGTTCTCTTATTTTGCATTTGACAAGCATATACTGAGCACAGTATCAGGCAGTGTGGGAGATTCTGGAGAACCAGGTTTGCCTCATAGCTAGGGGGACCACATGCTCTGGTTTGCCTGGGGCAAGCCTTACTTATGCCTGTCGTCCCAGGGTAATTATTAGTAGTATCATTTTTCACTTTCAAAAGTGTCTGAGTTTAGGGGATAAATTATCTTGCAACTCTTCTCATGACCCAACTGGTTCCTTTTGGTATTTGGGTTAAATATGAGACAGCTGTAATTTGGCAGTTCTTTTAAAAAAAAAAAATAGATGACTGGTAAGGGGATCCGAACCCATGGCCTTGGTATTATGAGCACCACACTCTCCCAAGTGAGCCACGGGCTGGCCCTTAATTTTGGCAGTTCTAATGAGACTACAACAGTACTTCTCTCTCATTTGAACAGATTGTTCCTTGATCCAGGGAAGTTGATAGCAAAAGTAACTCTGCAATTAAGGTATGCAAATACTTGGGATTTTTCCTGAGCTACCCTCTAGAGGGCAGTATTTTATATATATGGAATGATTCAATTCCAACATTTTTTTTTTTTTAAAAGATGACCGGTAAGGGGATCTTAACCCTTGACTTGGTGTTGTCAGCACCACGCTCACCCAGTGAGCAAACCGGCCATCCCTATATGGGATCCGAACCCGGGGCCTTGGTGTTATCAGCACCGCACTCTCCCGAGTGAGCCATGGGCCGGTCCTCAATTCCAACATTTGATGTTCCTTTTTTTGTGTGTGTGTGGCTGGCCAGTACAGGGATGGACCCTGGACCTTGGTGTTATAAGCACCACGTTCTAACCAGCTGAGCTAACCAGCCAGCCCTGATGCTCTTGAAGAACACAATGGAACAAATATGTGAATAAAACTTATTTTTGCTAAGCAAAAAAGTAAAATATTAAAAATTAATTCATTAATATTCTGAACATTATTTTAGTAAAAACTAGGGCTGGCCCATGGCTCACTCGGGAGAGTGCGGTGCTGATAACACCAAGGCCACGGGTTCGGATCCTATATGGGGATGGCCGGTTCGCTCACTGGCTGCGCATGGTGCTGACAACACCAAGCCAAGTGTTGAGATCCCCTTACGGGTCATCTTTAATAAAAAAATAAATAAATAAATAAATAAAATAAAATTGTAAAAACTGAACTTCAATGCTTTGAATATACAATAATCCATTATAACAATTATGCGTAGACTTTAATAATCTGCATATTTTATGCTTCTTTCATGTTTTTCCTAATTAATGATTTTACGTGATTAATAATTATAATATATTCCACATCTCATAGTTTCCATTTATGTAAAATGAGCATTTAAAAATTAATAGTTCTATTATACCTGCTTAAATACTATTTTCCTCAAAAAGAAAAAATAAAAATGGTAGATTTTACTTTATAACTTGAATCATGTGGTAATATAGAATTCTAGTATTTAGAATTAGAATGTTTCTTAAAGATTGTGTAATTATTTTTATGTCACCAGTCAGTGATTTGTTAGCTCCTAATATCAACAGTATATTGCTTGTGTTTCACATTTTGGATTTCCTAATGGAATGTTCTCTTTTTAGAAAAGGTGGACAAGTCCTATTTTCAAGAGAAGATGACTTTTAACAGTTTTGAAGGATCTAAAACTTGTGTACCTGCAGACATCAATAAGGATGAAGAATTTGTAGAAGAGTTCAATAGATTAAAAACATTTGCTAATTTTCCAAGTAGTAGCCCTGTTTCAGCATCAACACTGGCACGAGCGGGTTTTCTTTATACTGGTGAAGGAGATACTGTGCGGTGCTTTAGTTGTCATGCAGCAGTTGATAGATGGCAGTATGGAGACTCAGCAGTTGGAAGACACAGGAAAGTATCCCCAAATTGCAGATTTATCAACGGCTTTTATTTTGAAAATAGTGCCGCACAACCTACAAATCCTGGTGTCCAAAATGGTCAGTTCAAAATTGAAAACTGTCTGGGAAACAGAAATCGTTTTGCTTTAGACAGGCCGTCTGAGACTCATGCAGACTATCTTTTGAGAACTGGACAGGTTGTAGATATATCAGACACCATATACCCGAGGAACCCTGCCATGTGTAATGAAGAAGCTAGATTAAAGTCATTTCAAAACTGGCCAGACTATGCCCACTTAACCCCAAGAGAGTTAGCTAGTGCTGGACTCTACTACACAGGTATTGATGATCAAGTGCAGTGCTTTTGTTGTGGTGGAAAACTGAAAAATTGGGAACCTTGTGATCGTGCCTGGTCAGAACACAAGAGACACTTTCCTAATTGCTTCTTTGTTTTGGGCCGGAACATTAATATTCGAAGTGAATCTGATGTGAGTTCTGATAGGAGTTTCCCAAATTCAACAAATCTTCCAAGAAATCCAGCCATGGCAGATTATGAAGCACGGATCATTACTTTTGGGACGTGGATGTACTCAGTTAACAAGGAGCAGCTTGCAAGAGCTGGATTTTATGCTTTAGGTAAACTTTGTTATAAAACCAGTAAATAATAACTTTCCAACTATCCCAGGGCTCCTAGAAAGTAAATAGATGCGTTTAGCCCCCTTAACTAAATATTTAGGTATAAGCTGGTGTGTTTTTTTAATGTCAGTATTAATCTGTGAACCCTTATGTTAAATTGGTAATGTGACTAATGAATTATGTGAAAAAGACTACCATATTATGAATCATGTTTATCTTTGTGTAATTGTTTTCAGGAGAGGGATGACATGCAAAAGATGGCAGATATCCCTGATAGAAGAATGGGCCTGGTAGCAATAGTACCTATTATTTATTTTGGTTTTTGGTTTTTGGTTTTGTTTTTTGTTTTCTTTTGGCGGCTGGGCAGTAAGGTCATCTGAACCCTTGACCTTGATGTTGCTACCATTTATTGAGCACCTACTGTATGTGCTCAATACATACCTTACATGCATTTTCTCTAAGCCTCACAACAACCCTATAAAAAGAGTTAACACTAGAGAGTTTAGTTTGGCTCACATTAAGATTGACATCTATGGGCTGGCCCGTTAGCTCACTTGATTAGTGTGGTTCCAATAACATCAAGGCCAAGGGTTCAATCCCTGTACCGGCCAGCTGCCAAAAAAATAAAGATATAATTGACATCTACCTTTATTACATAGACTGTATTTGAAAGCTGCCCTATATTGTGCCTATTGCTTCAAATGAGTGCTTTTCAAATAGACTGCTATAGACATGTCAAGAAGGGCCATTAGTGTGGAAGCTTCCAAGGAGTTAAAAAAAAAAATTATACCATTATATATCTGACCCATTTATTTTAGGATTGAATAGTGCCAAAATGTAAAATAATTATTTCAAAAGATTTTATTATATAGCATCATATAGTACTCTTGAAGGTTTGTTTAGTGTCATGCAGCTATAACCCTAGAGAACCTTACCTTGTAATTTCATTATACTGAACTTTATTATTATTATTAATACTTGGACCATAACTTGTTTTAAAGTTTCACAGAGTAAGTGCAATATTGATGGCCCAAATGACATACATTAAAAGTAATGTAACAATTGTAGTTTTTAACATAAAAATTGGGCAATTTTATTTTTGTCCCCTATAAAATACCTCGGATTGAATCAGGGAATTTAGTGTGTATTTCTTCCTCAAATGATAAAGATTCAAATCTATTACTTAGATATCTATCAATTTGAATGTCTTCTTTTTTTTTTTTTTTTTTTTTTCCTTTTTG